TCAGAGTATGACAACTCTAGGGTTTTGTCCATGTTTATAGCTAAGGAATGAAATACAAGCAGACCCACTCCTACATATTCCTCTTTCCATAACTCCATCTTCAACATGTAATACGGTTTGTACCACACTAACAGCCCTACTAACTTTTCCATCATAATTCATTAATTAGTTCCACCGCACATCAAAATTTAAGGACTTCGGCCGTCTCTCCTACAGTTCAGATTGGCCGTTACTTATCACTGCTCTAATTTCTACCTTCCTTCTCCTAGAAATACATAACAGACATACAACATTCCTTAGGCTCCTCGACCTGCTGCATAACAACAATGCTACCTCCCAGTGTGCCAAAAAAAGAATTTTTAAACATAAAAAAAAAAACCGAATTTTTTAAGATATCAAACGTGGGCAGTGACACGACGAAAAATCCAAATCACAGACACATAAAAGCTTTACTGAAAACATATTGAGCAGAATAGAGTAGCAATATCAGAGTAGTAAAATATTTATAACAAATTACCTCGACTGTAAATAAAAAATCTCAACAATTTCAGCTAGAAGCCAAGGCCAGCCGTGCTAAGTTCTACTGTCTCAAGAAGATGCATGCTTTCAAATCGCATTTTATTACATTTATTGTCAAAAAAAAAAAAATAAGGATGATGATGGTAACAAATATGCAAAATCCCAGTAACATCGATCTTAATAACATAACAGGGAATATTCACACTGATATCTCGAACGGCCTTGGTATTCTTGACATAAATAAAACATAGAAATATACTGGGAAACAAAAAATCAGTACTAAGAATATTATAATATTTATGCAATGGAAGCATCCTGGATACATCGCTAGCAGACAATATCTACGCTGATAGCCCTAGTAATTTTGGCATTTATGCAGTATTTACCAGTTCCTGAATTCAGAACTAAACCCTTACTTTGAATCCATATATGAGGTAGAAGCCCTTTCAAATAAAACGCTTCAATGGTAAATTAGCACCGTAAAATGCTCTAAAATTCGTATAAACTGTGGCCCGTTTTTCATGCTCGGTGAAAAAAAAATGAAACTTCTCATGACTATACTCGATTTACACTACCACCCAAATTACTCTTGAACATCTCCGCTCCTCATAGAAATACTTAAAAGGCGCCATAACTTGTCTTATGACTAATAAACTGTACAATTAACGGAAAAAAAACTAGTCTAAAGTACGACGCCGAGCTAACAAATCAGTGCGATCCAGCAAATCAATGCTATCTCTTTCATGCTCTCTTCGGATATGTGCCAGCAGATATTCGCGATCCTGAAACTGCCCCATGCAAAGCTTGCATACCTCTGTTTTTGCCCTGAAAAAAAGGCATCTTTTACAGAAATATCCAAAAAAATTAAAAAAGCTCGAAAAAAAGTGCTAAAAATGAGTCAGAAAAATGCCTTCTTGCTTTCAAGCATAGCAAAATAAAACCGGTTCTCCCGAACAAAACTTCGATAGTAAAACTTGCGTCAATAAGCAGCCTCCCAATGTTGAATTATCAAATTCGCAAATTACCACAGCTTGTAAAGAATTTTTGTTCTCAGAGACCAATACAGTCAAAAAGAGACGAGAAATAACTCACGTAAATTGCGGGAAATTGTCACTGTTGAGCGCGGTTGTGTCCAAATCTCGCGTCAGCTGTGAAAGTGAGAAAAACTGCAAAAAGTAAAAAAATATTAGAATTATCATTAAAAAGTATTAGAATTATAACTAAATTATACCATTTTCGATGAAATTATGGCCATCAGAGTACGATTTTCTCGTTTGAAATGACTTCGTAAAGTGAACTGATTGCCAAATTTTACATTCTTTTTCCAGTCCTTCTTTGGTATCCTTTGGTATCCCTGGTAAATCATTTCTTCCTACCTTCTGTTTATAATTTTGTGCAGGCCCCCCGCCCGCTCCCCCCCTCCCCTCCGCCACTCCCCTATTAAGTATTGTTGTTCTTGTGGCAAGTTGAAATGACGAATTGGAGTAATGCAGGGAAAAGTTCCATTATTTCCCGTTTAAATCTGAGTTTGTCGGCATATCCAGACTACGAACGGACAAAAATTTTTCACACACTCATTTCGGCATACTTTCACCACTTGCTTTGTAGTAATGTTGAATTCCTTTTCACGTATATTATTTTCAAAAATCGCTTTTTTTCCGTCCCCATTAAAGTTAACACAGCTGTCGCTACAAGTATTTCAACTGCCAACGAAAGAAAACTCAAAAACCTGAGCAGTTTCGTGGTCTTCGCTTCCGAAATGAGCTTCACTTTCTTCCTGGGATGAGAAACTCACATCACAAATAACACAACTAGATATGAATGGTGGCGGTGGTTGTGCTATAGGCTCAAATTCCTGCGCATTTGTGTGTACACTCAGCGGCAAATTAGTAAGCTCGACAGCAGCATTCACTGGCACAAGGATGGTATCTGCCTAAAAAATATTAAGATCAAAAATACTGGATTCGGATACCACACATGCCGATGGATTTATTAAAGAACAGTTGGTGTTTCATCTCTTAGCTGTAAACACAAAGCAGAGAAACGGGCTGTAAATAGAGAGCCGAGGAATGAAAATCTTCAGTATTTGATGTATCTATGACACATGACTAAATGTACGAATGTGCGTGTTTCTAAATTATGAAAATTAGAGAAAAGACATCGGGAGAAGAAGGAAACAAGGGAAGAAAAAGGTGAAAAAAAAAGCTGGATAGTACGTTAAAATAGTACCCTTGGCTGCTAAGAACACCCTTTTTATATATTCATCATCCCATTGTTTAGATATAGCATTTTTTTAAGGCATATCTAGTGATTTTGATCAAAAGCAAAAAAAAAAAGAAAAGGGGACCAAAACTGAGGCTAGCGATTCTTTGTTCAAAATCGTACACATCACTAACGCAAAACAAACAGACAGAGAGTCGCCAAATTTACCAATTTTGGTGCCCGTTAAAATTAAGCTTACCGATTTTGCTGTTAGATGAGCAAACATACGACGAGAATCGACCAGAATAAAAGAACCCGCATTCAGGAAGGGGAATGCCAAGGCAATCCGGAGTTTTGCACATTCAGGTGACAGAGAACGTAGCATTTGCATTGGAATTACCACCGCTTCACATGGGTTTATTTCATTCACATCATTAACACTGTAAAAAAAATTATATTCTGAAGCAATCACATAGAGACCGTGCCCACAAAATTTTGACTCCCAAATTTCTTTAGCTGGAGAGTCTGGACATTTTGACAGACAAACAGACTGAACAGACACACACAAGTATCACACACACACACAGATATCACGCACTAACAAACACACACACACACATACACACATAAACATGCACCATATGATCTTGACTTAATGCAATATTTACATGAATGCAAAAAAGTACATAACAAAATTAATCCATTTTTCGAGTTTCAACAAAAATGACTAATAAATGCATGAAAAAAAACTGACCAAACGGCACTAACTGAGACCTCAACTGTCTCTGGGTTCAAGCACGGCTGCAGTCTTAATACAAGATGTGTTGCATTGTCCAGAGATTCCTGAAATCAAGCAAATCCCTTTATTTCCCGCTTCAGACAGTAGTAATTTGAGGAGAACGAGGCATCGATGATTTTTGAAGCGCAAAAATCCCTAAACATATCAATAAGAGGAATAGAAATAGAATAAAAAATAGGGTGTATTAACAACGGATGTGAAAGAAGACGAAGAGTAAAATAATTGGCCAACGCACAGGCTGCCCGTGCCAAGATGAGTGTTTTGCATAGCTCCCCGCAGATTTTTGTCAACGGCACTGCTTTTTCTGGCAGATGCTTCTAGCTAAAAGAATTTCGGACTAGCCGCCAGGACGGTCAGGAAACATCCGTTCAAAATTCCAGTCTTCTAGCTTCTCAGGTTGCATCCTAAATTCGTAGAACATACCGTTGTGACGATGCGTGAAAAA